CTCTCTCTCTCTCTCTCTCTCTCTCTCTCTCTCTATATATATATATATATATATATCACTCATTCTCTCGCTCGCTCGCTCGCTCACTAACTCTGTCTCCCTCACTCGCCATCTATCTATCTACGTATCTATCTATCTATTCATCCATCTATCTATCCATCTATCTATCCATCTATCTCTCTTTTGCTTCATCTATATATCTTTCTATCTCGCTTTGGCTCCATTTTTATTTATCTATCCGTCGCTTGTCCCTTCGCTCTATCTCTGCCTCTAATCGTCCTTACGTTTCACAATGCCGTCAAAACAAACATGCGTAAATACATTACTAATACAATCTCAGACCCATCAGACGGAAAGTTCCGTCTCATTTCCAAAAATTCTTTCTCCTTATGATCCAGTTTGGGACTACGTTTATCATGTCAGTTTGTTAATCACTGCTCTAAATTAATATTAATTATCCACAAAGTCGAATTAGGTATATGCAAGATACTTAGAAGCCAGGCTTGTGCGTGATTGCTAAACGGAAACTATTACGTGGGTACATTGTCTATAATATAATACGGCAAGCTTATTTAACGATAATGCGAATATGCATAAATATAGGTAAATAAATTTGCCGATATTTGGTTTTCGTCTAACCAACCAACGTTCTCACCTGTAAATTAGTATTAGCCGTATATTTATATATATATATATATATATATATATATATACCTATCGCAAACGACATTGTAATTTATTTTTCAGTTACGAATACGAATTTATTCTACAACGTGTCTTACTTAAAATATCATTGATTAGTTAGTTGTTAGTAATTAATATTTGAAACATTAATTATTGTCTATTATTGATTCATAGTAACTCTAATTATAGCGCAATAACTGTAGTTCTCGTATAAACTAATTACTAAATAAACAGATGCCGAATATTTATATTATATTTCATTAAGATTCTCGTCTGTAATTATAGAATAAAATGTAGTTAAATTTATCATGATATCTAAAATCAATTTTAGATTATTATTTGTTATTTATATTAATAAATACAAAATAACATGAAAAATGACAATTTCATGCTGGTGAGATAATAAATTTCAATATGACATACGTAATATCATATTATATTGTATAATATCTATTGTATTAGGGCATAAACATTGTTTACGTTATAAAAACAAATATCGATATTATTCATAAAGAATATACAGTGAAAAAAAATTCTTGACGAATGAATATTTCAAATTTTTATATAAAATTATAATTAAGCGCCGCTTTTACAGAAGTTAAAAATCGAATTGATTAAAATTCAATTACTACAAAGAATTTATCGTTTTTCTTTCAGCTGATTAGCATGATATTCTTGCAGTGACATGCAATTTCTTTGAGTACTTTTGTTATTTCTGAGGCAAATTGAGCTTTAATTTGGAACAAGTATTCAAGTATTCAAATAATCCAGTTAAGCCACAGGAACCGAGAGCAAGCTTGGTAAGTTTACGTTTACACAAACGAATTTCATATGATGCGAGCGCTAAAATCCCTCCACGCCCCCTCCTCCTGCCAACCCCAACCACCCCCTCCCCCATTATTCTTCATTTAACTTCCACAAACTTCAGAGTCAACACTGATATAAATGTATCAAATATATATATATATATATATATATATATATATATATATATATATAAATGTGTGTATATAGGAGTGATACATATATAAGATATTAGAAATATAAATCGCTACTTCCGACCGATGGTAACATATCTTAGCCTTCCAATCAATTGAATTATTCAATTTCATTTTATTTTATGGCTCAACCTCCTCCTTCCATATAAATTCTATACAGTCAAAAAAATTGATTCGCTTGCTTTAATGCAGAATAATAATAATAACAATAATAATAATAACAATAATAATAATAATAACAATAATAATAATAATGTTCATAAAAGTAATAAATAACAATAATAACAGCAATGACTGCATTGACAATGGCAATTGTAATAACGATGATGTTGATTGTTTTCACTGCTTTAGAAAAAAGTAATATTATTTTGCTAGTTGCTTTAATAGAAAATCTCTGCTTTAACAAAATTATTGTGTTAATACAGTGTGTAGTATAGAGTAAATTGTCCACCATTATCCTATATATATATATATATATATATATATTTTTTACTCTTTTATTCATCATAAGACTTCTTCTATTTTATTATCCATCATAAATTCATGGATTATATTAATTTACTAAAAAGAACGTACTGTTCGTCAAATAAACCAGATAGTTAATCAATAATTTTGAAATAACGTTCTTGCAGATATGTGAATAATCTATATTATTAATTTTTCAAAATTTTAATAAATAAAGATAAAATTATATAATATTTTAAATTATATATATCTTTAAATAAAATGTATTTTTTTCTTTTTTCTTTTTTTTTTTTTAAGTAAAGGATGTACCGTTTTATATTATTAAGATAATTTTATTCTTTACATTTCACATAATACGTACATAATAACTGGCAATAATAATAAGAATTAAAATGAGCAATTTTTTTTAATATCTCTACTATATTTCATTCTGTACATTATGCATACATTTAAAAATGTGCTATACCTTGTTTTATTTAAATTAAACTTATTCTTATTAAATACATTCAAATATATTAAAGTAACAAATAATACTGCGCAAAACAAGAGCTTAAAACTTTACAAAAATTTATAAATTCATATTTAAATTATATTCAAATGAATATCTAAAATAAAACGAAGCCGTTTATGCA